CCAGATTTTTAACAATAGCAGCTTTCGTTTGTTCGATAAATTTGTTACGTTGACGTCCGATGATTAGGGATATCTTTATTGTGATATCAGTTTACGTATTCACAAATTCTTAACGTTAATTCTTAATCAACGTTATTGACTTTACTGCTGTTCAACAAAAAGAAAAACAAAAAATCGTATAGGCAGTGCAGAAGCTTATTAAAGATATAATAAGCCTAAGAAAAAGGAACAAGGAAAATAAGTCGACTAAACAATAAAGACTTTCCTCGCTCTTCTACGCACACGAAAGAAAGATCGTTATTTAGTTTATTATCCTAAAATTCATGCTAAAGAACGAAGAAACAAAAGATTCCTTGCTTTTCCTTTCCTTTCTTCGATAACTTCACGTTGTACTTCCACAAATGTATATATATACCTGTCTAGCTGTACTAGTCATTTACAACTCTATGATGATGAATCGAACTGATGCGAAAGCTTAGAGTTGAATAAATAAAAAGTTTTGATTCATCAACTACTAAAAACGAATTAGACTTCTTAGCTCTAAGCGTAGAAACAGTATGAGACTTGACAAATGATAAATTCATACAATAAATGAATATTTTAAACAGATAAAATATATCCTATTAGGTCTTTTATTTTTGATCTTCAAAGATTGAAGGAAAACGTGGGTATTAATTTGTCATGTATGAATGGTATCAGTGACAATTGTTTAATATAGAGCACTTTTTTGATAATTTCAAAAAGAACCACTATCAAATTCTCTCCAAAACTATGCATTTTTTCATACTATGCACAATATCAGTTCGCTGCGAACTCAAATATAGTAGTCACATTTTCAGTTCGGAGCGAATTATATTATATATATGTACCGGACACATGTACAAGGTTATTTACGGCCGCCGGGAGGGGCGAGAGATGAGATTGTGAGTGAGCTCGAAAAGTAACTACTCGATATCCTAAATTCGTAAGATACCCAAAATACCCTAAATCCGCTGGGGTATCTTAGGTATCTAGGGTTTCTACGTAGATACTCTAAATACCTAAGATACCTAGCGAAAGAAAAAAGTTTCAGAAAAATGAGTTCGCAGCGAACTGAAATTGTGCCGGATCTCCATTTTTTGCGTTCTTTGTCTTCATAGATTTTTTTTGCAGACAAAAAAGAGGAAGTTCTCCGAAACGTTATACATTCTTAGCATAAGAATAGTAATCACCCACATAAAATATTTCTTGATCTTTGCTTCTTGATACAGTTCAGTGATGATGCAAGACGATTGATCAATCAGGAACTATCGATTTAGAATCTCTACCGCAGTTTTCATTTTATTTTGAAACGCATAGCAGTATTACGTATCTGTTGCCTAAATAAACGAAAAAAAAGAATGGAATTAGTCATCAAAAAATTATTTGGAGAGTGGTAAATAGTAGGTAAGTGTACACTCTCGTTCTGTTCTTGTATAGACCAAAAACGAGAAAATGTAAAAAAAAATATTCATTTTGTTTCGTATTTGCCACAGGTAACATTGTAAAGAACAAAATATTCGAAAGCAAAAAGAGATTCAAATCTTAAAGTCATGTGGACTCTCTTCTAATAAGCAGATAAGGGTTGTTGTAGACAGTTTTCTTATGGGTTCATCAGCGTATTTTTAAGTCTAAAAAACACTTCGTGATGCAACAAAAAAATTTCTTATTGTAGTCAGAACAATTGAAAATATTTATATTAATTTTACCGTTTTTATACCGAGTGAAAATAATTTCTGACTCTTGGAAGGAATAAAAATGAAGTCCTGACTGATCATTAATGTGTAAAATTTCGTGTGTTGGCTCCTGGAAGCTTCGCAAAATATTCTTCTATTCAGGAGTCTTGTTTCAACAAAGTGTCATAGTTAAAGGAAGTCTGCTCTGGAATATAAAAGATCAAATTCGGAGATATTCAGTACCACTTCTAGCACTCCACGGCCTTTCTTAGAGAAAAAATGAGTTATTTGATGTCTGACATTTCATACTGAAAAAATTCTAATTTAAATTTAATGCTAATTTGTCTTTCCCGGAAAACATATGTTGTTCAAAGAACCCGTTTTTAGACTAAAGACTTTTCTTCCGAATGAAATATCTTCTAGTTCTCCATGATGTTTCACTAAAAAGTTATTACTATCTTGTCAACAATCCTCAAAAACGTTACTTTTGTATCCTACCATCCCCGATTCAGATACTCTATACAAAATTTTTTTATCAGTTCTGATAAGAATCTTATCTGTTTCTTACAAGCTTCTTACATAACACGTCCGTACGAAAGTGATAATAATCTAATAGTAAGAAACAACTAAGAATAAGAAATCGGTAAGAAAGTGATGAGGAAAAGCTGTTCTTTGTATTTGTTCTAGTCAAAGACAGTCTATAATACCACACGGAACCAACTCATCATAAACAGTGAATATATGATCTAGTTGGTTAGAGGAGAAAACGTCAAATTGAAGAACGCAGATTCGAATCTTGCATGGACGGATTACTTGAATTCGTTTCAAATTGGAGTCACACTTTACAAAAAAGTGTTGTAAGTGTTTGAAAAGTTCCTGGAATTTTTCAAGCATTTTCCATTGCACACGAAAAACTTCAGGCGTCAGATTTTCATACAGATTTGGTAGGTGAATGATAAGGACTTTATAAGACTCTTGTCACTTTCTTACCGAGTTCTTATTATATTCTTAACTGTTTTATAAGAATCTTATATAAGAATCGATCACTAAGGCCCCGATTTACTCGCATTATTTCGGACTGACCCCGTCGAAATTTAGTTCGTTCGAGCTCAGATTTTCACCGTAGGTACTAGACATCCATACACCGAGATGTTTTCGAGCTGCACATAAGTATCAGACAGGTCTGTATTTCCATACAAAAGTGTTTATTCCTTCTCGGATCAGAAGTTATTTTCACTTCAGTGTCGTGGTAGCGAAATCGAGATATAATGGACTTTTTTTCACTATATGTACTGATTAAGGGTTACGGCATAATATTTATATGTGCATAAAAGCTCAACAAGCCAAACATTTAAGTCAGAATTTCGATGAATCAATTAATCACTTTGAACCGAATCAAAGCAGAAATTTACAATGCCACTAAACATGGAAATATCACTACGTTAAAAGTTCTCTTAAACGATACATCAATAAAAGATATATCTGATCATTTGAATGAATTTTATGAAGATGTGCATGCCAAATGTACACCGTTAATGGCTGCCTCACATTATGGACATTATGAGATTATCAAATTTTTAGTTAGCAATTATAGTCCGAATCTGGAAATTGAGGGCACTATACAACTAGATAACCAAACTTTTGAAGGTGTAACAGCGTTGTGGTGTGCAACATCTGCTGGTCACATTGACATTGTAAAAATCTTAGTTGAACATGGAGCTGATGTTAATCACAGAACAAAAAATGGTTCTACTCCACTGAGAACAGCTTGCTATGATGGTCATTTTGCCATTGTTAAATATCTTGTCGAACATGGAGCGGATGTTCATACTACGAATGTACATGGACATACCTGTTTGATGCTAACAGCTTATAAGGGACATTTAGACGTACTCAACTATCTCTATCTAAGTGGATGTGATATTGATGCAAAATGGAACTGTGGCTCGACTGCTTTGCATGACGCCGCGGAAGAAGGTCATTTAGTAATAGTCCAAACATTATTAAACTACGGTGCAAAAATTGTCAAAAATTCGGATCAAATGACACCAATAATGTTGGCGGCAAAACATCAACAAACTTGTATTATTGAATATTTCACAAATGATACCAAATGGTGTTCACAATTAGAACGCATTGAATCTTTAGAACTGCTAGGAGCTTCTATGACAGATATAAGCAAAGCTTATCCTTATATTTATCGTGGAATGCAGTTAAGGTATTTCGATACAATTAATCCAATGTTGAAACACGTATTACCACCTCGACCAGTATTTGATAATCGTACCGAGTGTCAAACGCTTGAAGAGTTGGAACAAATCCGTTTTAATCAAAATGCAATGCTAACTGAATTACTTTTAATTCTTGAAAGAATACTCGGTGTTAGTAATGCATATGTTCTAGATGCTATACGTTATCGAGGAGCAGCTTATGCTGATAGTGGACAGTATGATCGTTGTTCAGCACTCTGGTTACATGCATTAGCACATAGAGGTATCAGTCGAATAGATGAAAGAAAACGCGAGCTATTTATTTTTACTCAATTATTTTGTGAAATGATTTATTTGAATGTTAACATTCGATTAGAAATAATTAAACAAGTATTCAAATATACTATCGAAGAATTAGAGCGAAATACAACGACATTGATCCAACATAATTGTCAAAGTAATATGGATAAAAATATGTATACAGCCTTGTATTTGATTGTGATTTTAACAAAGGTATGTAGTCAAGAAAGAGCTCTGAAGGAAGTTGTAGCATAAAATCATTTTTTTATGTGATCACAGCTGATTTTAGATATTAAAAGAAAATGATAAACAAGTATATCACTTTATATCTCGTTTAAATCGATTGCGTCTTTCAACAACAAATGGTTTGACTCTCTTACATTTGTGCGTTAGTAATGATATTACTGTCGACGAATTTATAAAAAAGAAAATGGACAAGTACGCATTTTATCATATCTCTTCTATTGTTCACTTTGACTTTCCCTCTCTTGCATTTTTAGATTTATTCCATGTGCCTCTGCAACTCGACTTCTGATCCAATGTGGTGCCGATGTCAACATGTTTGATCACGAACGTAATACACCATTACATATAATTGCCGGTTATAAAAAAGTGAACACTGATGAAGATTTACAAACGTTGCAAACTGTCATGAACTTACTAATCAACAATGGTGCTCATTCGGACACCGTTAATATATATGGTAAAACACCACTAATGTGTGCAATTACAACACAAGCAGAAATCTTGTTAAAAACGCATAGAAAAATAAGTCTCAAATGTATATGTTCAACAGCGGTTAAAGCACTCAAGATAAACTATTATGATAGTCTACCCAGAACATTGTACGAGTTTATTGAGATACATGGAACACCTATACAATAGTATCTATCTCTTAAAAGTCCATATTCTAGTATATATACATCACCTCGTCTAGCCAGCTAATCATCATCATTCTAATATTTACCGTACATTATGCAATTCTCATTCCCTATTACAATGTCATTTGGATATAAGATATTCAGTTGACTGCTGTGCCAAACGAGAGACAGGCATACGTGTATTATAAAACCGTTTTAAAAACATTTTTTTTAATTAAAGTGTAGAAATAAGAATACATGTCAAA